CCACGCCCTCTGCTAAGTTCTGGGGCTAGTGAGGAGTGAGACAAAAATTAACTATGACCCAGTGTCTTGCAGGCAGTGACATAAATACAGGGTACGAAAGGGTCAAGGAGGACACCAAACCCAGCTCTGTGGGTACTCAAGGGTGACAGTGATACTGGGATTTATCTTAAATCCAGGTAATTAAACTTCTGAGTGCATGCTGACCAAGAAATCTTCTGATTGCCATGTACCTAGTACATGAAGTGAGGGTGATGGTTAGCACGGTCAGACCATCACCACAACCCAGTGTTAGATGCTCCCATCACCCCATCAAGTGCTCCACACGTGCCTACAGTCCTTCATCACCTTACCCTCAAGCCACCATTAATCTGCTTTCTGTCTCTACAGACTTGCCTTCTCAGGACACTTCATACTCACAGAGTCACAGAATAATGAATCCTTCCTGTCAGGCTTCTTTGATTCAGCACAATGCCTTTAGGGTTATTCACGCTACAGTGCATATTAGTTGTTAAATAAACAACTTTTACTGCTGAACGGTGCTGCAGTGTATGGCTATATCACACACTTTGTTTATCCATTCATCCGTCGATGGACACCGGCAGTTTCCGGTTTGGGGCCGTTTTGTATAATGAGTCTATGAACAGTCGTGTGCATGTCTTTGGGTCAACACATGCTTTCATTTCTCTTGGGTAAGTATGTCGGAGTGGACCTGCTAGCCTGTGTGGTAAACTTCGGTGTAACCTTTCAAGAAGCCATCAGCCTCTTTTCCAGAGTAGCAGGGCCACTGCACAGTCCCGCCAGCAGCACCTGTGGTTTCAGGTTCCTACCTCTGCACCAGCACTGAGCGCATCTGTCTTTCTGATCGCGGCCTCTTCCAGTGTGTGTGCTTGTATCTCACTGTGGTTTAATTTGCATTTTCCTAATGACTAATGATCTTGAGCATCTTTTAATGTGTTTATTAACCATTTACACATCTTCTTCAGTAAAACAGACACTCATGGGCTGCATATATTCTTATTACTGAGTTGTGAGAGTTATTACATATTCTGCCTGCAAGTTCTTTGTCAGGACTTGTTTGATTTAGTATAAATCCTACAAATATAAACTCACATGATTTACAAATATTTTCTCCCAGTCTGTGGCTTGTGTCTTCATTTTCTATATGGTTTCTTTTGTAGTGCATAAAGTTTTACTTTTATTGAGATCCAATATCTTGATTTTGTCTTCTTTTATGGATCACATTTTTGGTATTATATCTAAGAATTTTATGTCTAATCCAAGGAGATTTTTAAATGACAGCAATAGATCATTTAAAAAATTGATTTCACACTATCAACCACACCAAGTTCTTTGAAGAAGAACTCCTTGGCCTTTGTATTATCTTTATTAAAACCATTTTATTTGATTTAACACTGTTCAACTCACTCATTTAAGAGTGTTTTCAAGTCTGCAGAGAGAGAGCAGCGTGAACGGGAAGCTTGTACAGAGGCTGGTGGGGAGGGGCAGAGTTAAGGGAAGTAGGAAGAGGCAGCTGAACGTGGACCCCTGTCTTACCTGGTGCCTCCCAGGGAAACTTGCACACGCATTCAGTAGGTATTCACCACAAGATGAAGCAGCATTAATTGGTGCATGTGGCATCGTAGTACATCAAGTACACAGCCACCGTGGGAAGAGTGAACAGGCTGGCGCAAAGCCACAGAGAACTGGAGGCACCCTGCCCATGGTGAGCATGTGGTGTCTAAAAGCCTGGACTGAGCTTCATCGTTTATTGCTGCTTCATTCATCTGACAAGTACTTACTGAGCTCTGTGTAAAGTTCAAAAGATGGTAAATAAGATCAAGAGAGATACCTGCCTTCAAGAAACTGAGTTCGGGTAGAGTAGAGGCAGTGCTGTGACTACAAGCAGCTGGGCAGCTTCCACGCTGAGAGAGACAAAAGGGCTGAGTGCCTACAGAAGGGGGCTTTAAAGGGCTAAAGAGCTCAGCAAATGCTTCAAGAAGAAGGACCTGGGATGTAAAGGATGAGAACAGGTCATGGAGGGAGTACCCCCAGCAAGGGACCCACAGAGGCCCCGTGGTGGAAGGGAACGTGAAACAGCTGGGCAGCACGAAGGCTAGTGTGGCTGCAGGCGAGACAGAAGGAGCAGCCTCCCCATGATGTGCTGCTGAGAGGGGAGCCCGGACCTCGCTGGACCTTTAGGCAAACTGAGGTCCTGCCGTCATCGTAAGAGCAAAGGAAATTCATTAAAGGAATTCAGATAGGGAGAAAGACACGATCCCCTAAATATCTGAGATCAGCCGGCTGCAGAGCGCAGCATGGTTGAGAGAAGAGCTAGGCTAGTGTCTCAACTGGACCTGCTGGGGCAATTTTAGGGTTCCAGGTGGGGAATAATGGTAGCTCAGGCCCGGGTGGGCACTGGTAGTGCTGGAGGTGACAGTGTGTCACAGCATCATTAGTGCGGGAGGGTCTCTAAAGTGTCCTCCTCGCTGGGTCTGGAATGGCGGGGGGCCGCAGGGGGCGGTAAAGTGTCACCTGCTGGCGACTCTGGTGGAGGTGGCCCTGGTGAGCAGTCAGCCCCTTAGTCATGGGCCTTCCTCTCCCTCATGGTGGTCCCACCTCCTGGGGGAACCTTATGGCAGTTTCCTAGTCTCCTTCCAGAAACTTCATACACACACTCTAGCATCTGTAATACACACACTAGTGTGTGCGTGTGTGCACGTGTGTGTATTCACGTCATCTTACACAATTAGAAGCCCATCATAATACTGTTCAGGATCTGGCTTTCCCCCCATTTATGTGTAAAGTGTACGTCTTTCCATACCAGCAGGCACATATTTGTCTTACTTTAAAAAAGCAATATACTTTTCTATCAGATCAGATCAGATCCTGCAGGTCTTGCAAGACTCAGGAGGGTGTCAGATTGTATTTAAGTGCAATGGGAAGGCACCAAACAGTTTTAAGCAACATGTGTATGAATACATGGGTGTGTGCACACATGCTGGCTGCTCCAAACAGGATTAACTGGAAGAAGGCAAGTGGGGGACTATTAGGAGATGACTTGGTGACAGATGACTGTGGCCTGGATGGGGATGACTGCTCTGGAAATGAGGGAAGAGGATTGACTGTAAACACACTTGGGAGGTCTTGGCAGTGGGCTGGATGTAGGGACAGAAAAAGAGGAAGAGTCAAAGAGGGTCCCAGGTTTGTGCCTGTGCAGCAGCATGAATGGGGGTGCCCTTCACGGGGGCTGTGGGCTGTGGGCTGCAGGTCAAGGTGTGGGAGATGCATCCAGGGAAACTGCCCCTGAGGAATGGGGTGCACGCTTCCATTCCTCGGAGCAGATGTCTGGAGAGGGGGAGATGTACATTTGGGGAGATGTACATTTGGGCAGCTGTCAGCACCTGCGTGATATTTAAGTTATGGGCGTGATGAAAATACCTCCAGAGAGTTTGCACAGTGAGAAGAAAGGGCCCAGGGCTGAACATAAAGAACCACGAACTTGAGAGACTGGGAGAGTCACTGCCAGCAAGAGGCTGAAAAAAAGCACAGACAGAGGTAGGAGGAAAACCTGCTCTTTTAGACAAAAATGATGCCTTTTCTCACTCTCACACTGCTCTCCTCATTGCCCAGCACCCCCTCCCCTCAGCAACCCCCTGCAACACAGAGACCCACCGTAGTCCCAGTAAATGATTTTAAGAAAAAAACCACTTGGCTAAGGAGAAAAATATTGTTCTAGTTTCAACACAGTTTTGTTAAGTTCCAGACAAAGATACTATAAAAGAATACTGCGTCAGTTAAAAATCATTATAACATTCATTTTTTAAATGAGTCATTTACTCAAAAATTTAGATCTGGAATTTTGGAAGTACTGTAGGGATTGGAAATGAAAACAAGGAACTAAAACTTGAGTAACATGGGTTAAACTGAGGGGAAAGCTGACAGGCATCCCAAAACAGCTGTGCTGTCGGAGAGAGGGTGTTGGAAGAGAGGAGAGAAGAGAGCTGTCCCACACACGGGGGACCATGGGAATCTGAAGGGAGCTATCTTTGTCAACAACTTACATGACAGAAAATCACAGAACGAGCAATCAAAAACCACTGTCACTGAAATCGCCCAACACTTCAAATAAGGGCTGTTCTGGAGCTTCTGCTTATTTGTGACTGGGCACCCCTCAGGACTGAAATGAATCAAGCTGCTAATCCCTCCCACGATGTATTTTTTGAAAAAACTGAACTTTACAGAGAGCTTTCTTCCATCAGACACGTGGGGCAGAGGCTTCATCGGTATTACAGCATCAGTCCCCACTGCGTTCCATCAAGCAGACACACCACGATCCCCACTTTAAACTGATGATAGAAAAGTCTACGGTTCAGAGAACCTAAGATTCCCTTTGGGGGAGAAAATCTTCAAATCCAGACTAACCAACCCTCCAGACCCTGTGTTCTTACCTCGTCTGCTCCAGGGCCTATCACCTAACCAAGTGAATAAAGAAATACAGAAAGAAAGGACAGCACTTTCTTTAAACTACTGGAATGGGGCATCGTGTGAATTTTGGAGAAGCAGGAGCTCTTTTCTGCCAATTTAAATATTAAAGAAATAGGTGAGATCAGTTCATCATAAAACCATACCGACATTGAGAATTAGCTCATGAAAAGGGTTATTAGCATTCACGGAGGCCACAGCTCCAGGACCCTGCAGTCTTGTGATTAGTCAAACCTGCCAGCAGTAGCCGTTAGGGTGAGATCAGGTCACAGGGACCCGTCAAAGGCTCTATACACCAAATGCAAACGTGGAGATTTCTACCTCTCAGCTTCCCAGGAGTCGCCCACCTGGCTTAGCTGTCAATTGATAAAATTACACGGAATGCACTGAAAATTTAACCTAATTATCTTAGGCCATGAACTTTCAATAAAAACACTTTGTTGCAAAAGATGGGCAATAATGAGCTGCAGCGACCTGCTAACTGAATGGGCAAGACTCACACCAAGACCACGAGGGAGACAGGAGGTCCGGGACACCAGGGACCCAGGTCATGGCGACGTGCCCCGCGTGCCTTGCCACCAGCAAGCTTCATCACTTTCAGCCAATCTGTATCGATTCCTTTCCCCTTTACACTACTGGTAGAACCAAAACTCATTCTAGGCCCACTTTGTTCATTTCCATCATGATAATCACTACCACACCTCTGAAGCTATCTTCCTGGACCCACACCCTAGAATTTGAAACAGTGCTCAAGTTTTATGTTCTGGGTCTTTGGTAAAATAACTCCAATGGAAATAGCTCCTCACATTTAGCAGAACTGAGATAAACAAAAAGGACAGAAGTACTGCTTCATTCCTAACATGAGCAGGTGTGAGGATGAGTGGCCTACTCGGGCAAATTCAGTTCCACAGACCAGCAAGGATGGGAAAGGAACAAAAGAAAAGCTACAGTCTTTTCAAAAATATTTTCTAGACTTTCCTATATTAAAACTTGCCATTATTTATTTATTTTCTTTCTTTATTTCCATTATTTTGCACCACCTCATTCTCTCATCTGCAATGATTAGCAAATTTCATGAGAAAACAGTTGGCAAAGTCACTGAAAACAAATCTGCCTTTACAAGATGACCTAAAATCCTCTAGAATAGCTTTTCTCAAAATGTGTTCCTCAGACAAATGGTCAGGAGGTACTCTCTGCCAAGAAGGGTTCTATGGCTGAATAAGTTCGGGAAATACCATAAACTCATTCCATCCCACTTTAGATATTTGCAGTACCCAGTTTATAGTAAAAGTTCCAAGAAGTCCATCAGCAAAAATAAAAACTTATTTATTTTATTAATATAGCACTTTTACATATTATCAGATCAGTGCTTCTCAAACTATTGGTGAAGGACTGATTCCTTTTTTAATTTCAAGCCCACTGTCATCTGATTTTCTGATAAAATGCAATAAAATTGTTAGAGAAAATTAAATTTTCAAAATGAGGACATAAAAGATACAAGCCTATGTTTTAAAAATTGTTAGATTCAACAGACATAAAATTGCCCCCTTAAATTGGTATAAACATTTCTAAAAGCTTGTTCTAGTACGTTTACCAACCTCCATGTCACAAACCAGTAACAATCTGTGACTGACACTCCAAGCAGCGCTGTATCCGAGGACAGACACTTGTGTCCCGTAACACCCATCAACACCAGCAGAGCACTCTGGGAAATACTTACACAGAGTACAAAGACATAAAATACGGTCAAAATCTAATTCCAGACAAATATCGATCCAATCCATCAACACACGGTGACAATTTCTAACTGGAATTAAAATGAATTAAAGTAAAATATCAGCACCTTGTTTCTTTTGGGTAATGCAGATAGGAAAATAGGAAACTGAAGAAACTCACTTCAGGGTCTCAAGTGACATCTGTAAATTGTAATTGCGTTCCTGTTCAGGCAGCCTGGAGAACTCCACCAGACACGGGTGCTGTCTCTTATTGTCGTCTCTAACCTAAAACAGGACAGGAAATCGGCACGTAAGAGCTTCCAAGGTCAGACACCAGCAGTGGTGATCCAGCCGCACGGAGGAAAGCGAAGGGACACCCAGACCATCAGCCCAGCGGAGCTGCGTCTCGTCTCCCGCACAGCTCATGCTTGAGGTCGTGCTGAGACCTGGGGCTACCCGGGCTCCCTGCTGTCTTCCAGGATTCGCGCGGCTCCGGCCCCAGCTCCGAGCCGGCCCCACCCGAACCCCACACGCTCACTCTCTCAGCAACTTCCGGCACTGGCTTAAACCTTACTTTCTCAACAAGGCTCATCCTGTCCACCTGCCCAATGTGGCCACACAGAATGTAAGACCAAGGGGACAGGCACTGGCTTCTTCTGCTCTTTGATGATGTGCCCCCAGCACCTAGAACATACCTGGCACGTGGCAGCCGCACGACCAATGCTTTGCAAACTGAAATGAATTCTAGGTAAGAAGGTGTAGGAATGACTTAGTTTTGACATGTAGTAATTTATATGTGTTTAGAGCCAAACACATTGGAGACCTCAACTGGCATCAGAACAGACTGGCAGAAACTCTTTGAGGTGGTTCCAGCTGTTCATCTCACCCACTGGACATGACTTCCTGCTCTCACAAATCACTCCACTGCCTTAACGAAGTCAGTTAACATGAGACAGGCATTTTTTCATATTCGTCCTTGAAAATGCGTATCAGCGATCAGAATAAACTGAATTCAAGATTTTTAGGAATGAATTAATAAGAAGGATGCTCCACACCCCTGCACTAGTGATTAGCTTTCTACCTTCTTGGAGACCTGAAGTGCACTGGCAGTGCTGCCAGGCTGGCACCTGGAAGGCAGTCACACGCTGTCAGGGAACAAATCACCCCATAGGGATAATTACCAGGTTTTATAAATGCCACACGAAAAGTGTGCAAACACCCGCAAGATTTTTTTCAAGTCTTCAGGAGTAACCAAGTTAAAAACAAGGTATCTATTTTTCTCTTTTTTGGTGATCATTACAAACAAACAGGACTTACGTAAAAGCTTATAGTTGTTTTTTCCTTATCTGAGTGCCTAACTTTGGAAATGAAATCTAGGGTTATAAAACTTAACCCTGATTCTAAACATAAAAGTAAACATGACTGTGTCCAAGCCCTGAGGTCACTCACTCTGCATTCATGTAACTGTCCCTCCCCCCGTATTCTCTAAACCCGAGAGTAACTGACACCACACCCTCCAGCGTGGGTGTCCAAGCTAAAGCCAGAAATCTGTCCAGGTTTCCTTCCCTCTCTCACCAAATCCCATACTTGAGCTTCAAACATCTCCTGCAGTCCCGTCTCTCGATCCCCACGGTCGCACACCATGGGGAAGCTCACCTGGGCCACCTGAGTCCTCTCCCTGACCCTTTTTCTGTCCCCAGGCTCACTGCTCTTCCACACTAACCGCAGAGCTCAGATCAAATATTTACCACCTCCTGGAAGCCGCCTCTGATTTTACCAGGACAGAGGTAAACATTCCTCCTTCACTGTCAGCATCTCGACACCCTTAAGGCACACAAAGCCCAGTGTTGCTTCACTCTCAGCCTCGGAGCAGGCGAAGGACAACCGGCAGCAACCGTGGGGAGGATGGCTCTGAGGCACCACACTCGCAGTGCCTGGAAACTCGAGGGTGCTTTGAACACAGCAGGTCTGGTATTGAGATGAACTGAATTTTACTGGGAGAACAGATAATAACGAGACCTCCTATCTCCCTCCCTGTAAAAGCAGCAGCATAACTAAGAGTTCACCGTGGAACGTAATCATGAGGCAACCTTAGACGCTGGCAAGAGGGACCACCTTCCTGCGTGCAATCCCACCAGACAGCTCCTGTTACTATACGGGGTTTCTGAAGGGCTTTTGCTTGTGTGAGAGCTTTTTAAATCTTCCTAGCCTGCCGTCACCCTTCCTCTCATCTTGAAATGTATGGTGAATCCTGCCCATCATCTTTCCCTCACCTTGAATGAGTAAATGTTTTCTGTCACTCCTCCCCTTATAACATCTCTCCTCTTACTGACTTTAACTGATGGTTCAATCTTGTATTTAGCATTTCTTCATTTCCTTGATTTCTGAAAGTCAATGAATGTAGCACAAAACTGGGTACTTCATAGGTATTTGCTGATTTGACTCTGTCCAACCATTACTGAGATAATGACAGGATCCCACTCTCTGATGAGGCATCAGCAAGTCTTACAGTGAGAATCGGGTCTAGACTAGACGCTAGAAAGCCTGGCCCCAGCCCTGCACAGTTACAGACCAGCAGCCCAGGCATCTCACAGCTGAGGACCCTCAGCCCTGTCATCACTGGTAAAACTGCAGTAATAACACAGCCCAGCGTGCTGTTGTGAACAGTTAACCTATGCCTGTGAGTGAGGGTACATGTAAAAGGCAAAGCTCTCAATAAACGTAGTGATATACTAATTAGCATAAAGTATCATAGGACATTACCACTAACACTAGTAATAAATGTCGTTATTCAAAGCTCAATGCAGTAAACTATGACTGGGGTGAATACTCTCACTTCTACATACAGTCAAATATAAGAAAGTGTTACAACCTTTGGGATACATAGACTAAAAACATTTTTAAAAACTGAAAGCATTGCCACAGTCCTGCTAAAAAAAGGTATGATACAATGTGATTACATGGGAAATCATCTTGGTTTTCGGTCATCTAAATTCTAGTGAGAAACTGTAAACTAAGTTCTCTAAAATACAGTCACTTGGAAATACACACAATCATCATTCCTCAGCCGACCTTCCACTGAGGAGGCCAACCACGAGCCTCTGCCCGGAGGACGGACACCGCTCCGCACGACCGGAACTGAGAGAAGGGAAATGGCAGTGGGGGAAGCATACTGACTTCTTCCCATTTTCAGTTTTCACTTTCAATTTCAAAGACTTTTTTCCCAAGTGCCTTAGAAGCCAATGCCTATTGTCTCTATATGGGAACCTTGATTTTAAAATGTAACTTTCAGCCTGAAGAGCGATAGCTTTTCAATTGTCTAGGCCACGAAGCCATCCTTCAGTGAACCCACCAATGTCATTCCCTCTGTAGAGAAGAACCGCACGAGCACTAATGTGTAGGGAAAAATCAACCCGACCCATTCCTGTCACCACACAGCATGATGAGGGGGAAAAAGGTATGTTTTCAGAAAGATGCATTAACAGAATCTGAAAATAAGTTATACAATTATGTACCGGGCCATACTGCCAACCGAGTTCAATCTTATTCATGACCCAGAGTTCGTGGATATTCTCCGCCAGTTTTTCTCTTATCCTCTCTAGATGGGGAGGCAACACGATCTAAAATTTAAAAAAGAGAGAGAAAGAAAACACATGAGAAACAAATGTAATAAAACAGGGTGCTAACTGTCCTCACTGTGAATTGAACAAAATAAAACCATCTCATCAACCATTAAAATGTAATTGTGTAACTAGGCTCCAAACCATCTACTCTCAACTTGGATAGCTGGGTACGGAAATATTTGTTAGGTAAATTCGGGGCATTTACGAGCAAAAGTCAGAGAGCAAGGAAACAGGACAGCGCTCTTTCCTGAAGAAAGAGGTCAAACGGGTGAGCACACACCATTCACTAGAGAACTCACCCCCACGTTCCTGAGCCAGCCCGGCCAGCATCCACAGCCAGAGCACAGGCGGCTCAGTGCCCAGAGGTAAGCCGCCAGCTCTCTGAGACTATAAATACCTGACGGCAGTGCTTAGCGTTTTCCCTTAGCTGTGTCACTTTGGTGGTTTCCAAATACAAGCCTCGGGGGCTGGGGGAATCTGCACATGTTCTCCTCATAGAGAACACAAAGCGGATTTCGAGGTGAGCGGTTGGTTGTGCACATCTGGGATGCCTCCCACAACGAGTCCTCCCCACGGAGAGCCCACAACTGCCCACGATGCCCTCGGACGGCAGGGCTTCCACCGGAGCAGGCCAGCACTGCCCCCTGCCCTCCAGACAGCAGAGGTCATCCAGGTCTCTGGAACCCTAAATGTGCTAGTGATGCTGCAGAGCCCCACTGCCCACCCAGCCCGTTCCTGTCCTCCAGTCGCATTCACCGCTCAACCGTGGTGGCACCACACCCATCCTGCCACGTCCCACCAACCAACAACACAAACTGAATTTCAGCCACCAAGAAAGCTCATCTGCTTGTTTTACTTCATACTATAAACAGCCAGCATGGAGAGACCAGAAATATGACTCAAGGAACTTAAGAACTGAGGCTTCTGAGGCCCAGTATTAATTCTACTTCAGACTTTGGAAGCAATGCCTTTGATCTTCAAAAACGAATGGACACACTATGAATATCTAACCAACCTGACTACAGTTACTTCACCACCAAAATAAACCAATACTGAGTTCACTGTCAATGTTACGGCTACCTCCAAGTCTACAAAAGAGAAAAGCAAGAATAATGGCTAACGTTGCATGGGTGCCAATTTGCGAAGCACTGTGCCGGTGTGCTATTCACTGACCGCGTCAACCCCAGGCAACGTAATGAGTAATTCTCTCAGGTCCCACAGCAGACATCTGGTCTGGAGCCCATGATCTCAACCTCTCCCAAGATAAAAAGTCAGCGAAGTCACTTCAGCACACTAAGTGTATCCAGATGGGAGAAGAAACTGAAAACTCCACCACTACCCCGTGTAAAAAACACTCTGAAATTAGTACGCATCACCTCAGGCTGTGGCCCATTAGATGTTATAAAATCAATTTAGTGGCCTGAAACTATAGACTAGAAGGTGGGTAAGTAGATGTGGTAAAGGTGAGCATTATTTTATGAAACGTGTCTCACTTGTAAAGTGCGTTACTGCGAAATGCATCCCTGCGGGTTTCGGCCAACAGCCTGCAGCCCCGCGTCTCAGGAGGAACGCAACGCGGCTGCTGCCGCCCCGGCTGATCTGGGTACCTGGCTGGTATCCACAGGGATCGGGGTGAAGGCGGCTTGTGTCAGGGAGACCGTGGGGCCCAACAGGTCCCGTGTGTAAGTTCTCTCTTGCTTATACTCTCGGCTGTGTTCCACTTTCAACTTTTCTTTTGGCAGAACAGCTTCATAACACGGAGCGTAGCCAGGTGGGGGGAGAAATTTAAATTCTCCATGTCTCCCCCCAAGCAGGAAGCGTACCCTAAAAAAAATGCATGTTGGGGGTGGTTATATCTCTGGTGTACAGAAAGTTTCCTAATCAACAAAATATAAGGAGTAAATTACTAATACAAAATTAACGTTACCTGATGCCCCATTTTTTTTGCCTAAGTAACATTATTGTCAGTACTTTAGTTTTACAAGCCTCTAATCATAAAAGTAAAACCTGATTAAATTATGTTAATGGCTCAGCAAAAACTTATCACTCTCTGGAGAAACAACAAAAGCACATGCATCATATTCCTATGGGAACGAAATACCTCTGTCTGCAGTGTTTGGTCATTTAATGTCCTGAGGTGCCCAAATAATCAACAGAGAAAGAACAGACATAATCTAAATATCTATGAACTTAAAAGTACGGAGCTGGATGAGATTTGATTAAAACAAAAACAAAAACAAAAAACAGTCACTTTCCGGTGTCCAGTTTCCCAGTGAAATCCCTTAAAGGGGACTCGAATAATACTTCCATCTGCTGAATTGTTATTTTAATTTCTCTTTCCACCTGGTAGTGGCAAAAAAAGTGAAGTGTTAGAAGAAACCATGCTGGCTCGGCTGAGAACCAGAGCCGAGTTATAAGTGGAACAGGCAGACGGTGACATGGGAAGAAGCCAAAAAACATGTAGTTTCTGTAGAAATGAGGGGGTCTGGAGTAGGGTGGCAGAATACCATGAAGAGAAAAGAAAAATTAATGAAAATAAACATGAGAAAATAACTGGTTCTTTGATACAACCTTGCTGAATTATCCTGATTAAACAAAAAAGTGAACTTATATGGACTTGGAATATGTCAGGACACTGGACACAGGGAGAGTTAATTGACTGACTACGTGCAAATGGCTGGATACGTGGACAAAGCATTCAGCCTCCTGAGAGTCCCCTCTTGGGTGACCCTCACCTCCATCCTTCAAGGAACAGACAAAATGCCCAGCTGACAGATGCCCAGGAGTGAGACAGGAGGTGGGTGGAGCAGGGGTGGTGGCAGTGCCGAGTCCGCTGTGAACGCACGAGACGTGAGAAGGCAAACAGACCAAAAATACAGAAATACTAACTTTATTCCTGCAGAGAAACTGACAACTGGAAAGAAGAGTCCATCAATGTTGAAATTCTCAAACATTCCTTGAACAGGCTGTCCGTTAATTCGAAATGAGATGCTTGGGGCACTTAGATCTAAACAGCAACTGATGACGTCCTCAGTTCTCAGCAGATGCTGGTTTGGTGAGCTGACAGTGCGAGCAATACACCCTACGGAGAGAGACATTACGGAGGGTCATGCGTTCTTAGCTCAGAGAATCACCTTCAGAGCCAAAGTCCCAGATCTGAATAGGTAGTGACTGGACCAGAATAAATCCTGAATGCATAGTAACGGTTCATGTTACATCCTTTGTCAACAGTGTTGCTTTTTCCAGAAGCCACGCTGCGATCTTTGTTGTGAAATGAACCTCTGATGTGCAGAGATCTGTGCAGGCAGGAGGATGCTGGTTGAAGAAGATACCACTTTAGAGCTGAGGATAATATAATGATGTCAGGGGAAGTCCCTAGGAAGGACTTGAAGCCAAATGGTAACTTTATCACCCACTACTTGTATGACCATCAGCAAATTACTTGACCTCTATAAACCTTGATTTCTTGTAAACCAAATGCCAACACCTTGTAGGCTGTTACAATGATTAAATTAACAGTTTAAAAGAAGAGAATCAGACACAGCAGGTATTTATCTCAGACCCTTTTCTAAAGATTAAATCCCCTTTACTTTATAAAATACAAATGTAAAAAGATAATGAAAGCAGAAAATGTGATCATTTGCACATTATTTATTGAGAGACCACACATGTCAACTGATTTGTTATTTTATGATTTCTTTCACACAGGATCTTGGTTGGCTTCTTAAGTAGGACACAGCAGGACACCAGCGAGGCATGAAAATGATACCTGATAAATGTCATACCTTGTCCTGTCATACCTGTGACCTACACCCATGCTTGGCTATGTCAGAACTCCTGTCCTGGTTAGTTCCACGGGCACACTGGAAGACCAGAAAGTAAGGTTCTCCCAAACATACATGCCCACAAATGCAAACATACAAAATTTCTCAGTTTGAGCTGGACAAAAATAGATTTGATTACACAGGCTTTGCATTTTTATAGCACCTTTAAAAAATTTCTAGTATGCCAAGATTTTCATCAATAGCATATCTGAAATACCAATAGTGGAGCACAGCCACTTTTTAAAATGTGTACACTTTTTATTTTATCAATATTCAAATCTGCAAGTAATAAATTCATTATCAAGTGATTCTTCGAGAATTCCCTGAATATAATAAGGGCAGCTTGTTTAAAAAAAAAATACCAAAAAATCATGCAAAAGCAATACAACTCACAGATAAAGGTCTATATCCTTGTTTGTTACAAGATCTGTAGCTGATAAAAATGTTTTTAAAAAAGATTTTTCACACTTTTGTGCCCTTACAAACATGGCATGTGGATGCCCCAAATTCAGTTCTCATTCACAGAGGAGAAACAAAGCAACACTGGGCAGAGCCGAAGTCGGGAAGAATAAATGAAGAAGAGCTCAAAATGTTTGCTGATGAGACCAATGCTGGTCCCTCTGGAACATGCCTGCTCTCCAATCACAAAGAGTTAAATGGCAGAGAATGTGCCCTAGCCCAGAAATCACAGATATCTGGTATTTTAAATTCTACTTCAACTATTAAAAAGAATAGGAGAATGAACCCAAGAAGATTGTGCGAATTCCAATTAATCCAACCATGGTCAGCCAGTCGAAAGCCAATTAATTTAGATGTGTCTTTATTGATCAAGAATCTAAAATCTGCAAGAGATCCCACTGGCTGGAGAGAACACAGCTTTTAGCTACAGGCATGAGAGTGTGTGTATTTCCTTGCCATTTGAAAAAACAGACATTTTCTCCTGATACAAAGTTTCAAGATGACTTTCTCCTGAAACTCCCCATCCAATTCTCCTTTCTGTGGTAAGTGCACAGATTCACCAAACAGTTTTGTTGTTCTCATTGTTCTACTAACAGATCCCCCGTCATGAAAGGCATATTGCATACAGTTCCACTCAATAAGCCCTGGGCTCTTTCTCTGTGTTGATGTAAAAAGTTTCAAACTAAATGTTAAAATGAGAATGGTGACGCAGTGCTATGTGGCTAAAACAATTAGAAGCAATCAGCACTGTTTTATCAGAGTAATGTTTTGTTTTGTTTTCTTTTCCCCCTAATCTCTCCATAAGGGGAAAACAAGTGAACATACCTCATTCATTCACTCCATTTTGTGTGGGGTGATACTCAAAAGTAGAGAGAGAGGATAACAGTTAAAATGCATCATGAGAAAAAACAGACATTAACCCTACTTCTCGTTGGTCAGGACTTCTGAAGTTAGGGCTCTTTGCCTTTGTTGGTTAGTAAGAAAATTTTGGAACAGACACTGTGACTCTCCCGTGACCAGCACAGCACACCTGTGTGTAAAACATGTCACCCTAAGACCTGAGCTCCAACCAGTGCCCCACAGGCGACATGAGATATCCAAAATGTACCTGCTACTGAGCTACTGGCACTGAATAAAGGAAAATTTAGTAGGTATTACTGTTAGATACAACTACCTGGAGTGCTTTTATTTATAAACTTAGTAGCTCAAACTCTTAGGTTTAATTAAGTTTAGTTTTAAAATTTCTTTTCATAATTTATAAGACCTATAAAGCAATAATAAATGAATGTCACCTGATTTGCCCATAATAGGCAAGGTTCAGCTTTCTGTAATGCAAGGAACCTCTCTGTATTTTCTATATGCTAAATGTGTCATAAATGTGTTATAAATGTCAGTTTCATTCTAATGCAGCTCTATGAATAGAGCACATGTCTGCAGAATCCAGATGAATTTCGGTATCTACATAATCAACAGCCACACTTTAAAATAGAGTCAATCAAAACACACCTTTTAATAAATCAGAAAAGAGAGTATTATTTTTATTTTTATATATTACTCATTTTAAATGTATGCTCAACCATCAAGGCTTAGTGCTGGTAGCTAGTGAAATGAACCATACATTTTTTTTTTAATGGAGGGACTGGGAATTAAGCCCAGGACCTCGTGCATGCTAAGCATGAGCTCTACCTCTGAGCTCCACCTTCCCCCCCATACACTTATTTTCAGACAGTTTCATGCCTGTGAATCAAAGCACCATCTGATTACGAACTGACTCCTCACAACACACTTTACAAATCACCAATTCCTGACATTATACTATCTACCAGGAGGTGGAACTAAGTCTATTCATTCCAATTATTTTCCAGTATGTGCTTTTGGTTCCTTTTTATATCAGAAGTTAAGCTTCGTACATGTGAATTAAAGTAAGTAGTAAATGCTTATGTTTTTCCGGTTGATTCACGGATCAGAACACTACTTCTGAAACATACCGCTCATCGGCAATCAAAATCAAGTCTTTTGGAAATGTACTATAATTGTATGAGGTTTCTTTCTCCCCTAGTGAAATTCTGCTTTTTACTCCACCCTCTCACTCATGTCAGTGTTAGATTTCTGAATCACAAATGTATCTGATAGAAGCAACATCAAGCACTTTCAGGACTGGAAGGTGAGGGCATAAGATTTCCTTCTAGAACGCTGTGAAAGAAACCAGATACACTTACCTGACCAGAGGTGAAGGCCATCAAATCCATAGGAAAAGAGATCATCTCCAACACCATTGCCTCCCCACTCTTCGCCCCCTCCAGGGTAGGGGGAGTAGCCTTCCGTGGACGCCCAGCCCACTCGCAGATGGGTGGCTTCAGCGGTCACGAACGGCTCGGTGTGGTCGACCATCAACTCATAGTACCACTTCTTATACTGGGCAGACCCTTCACTGACACCCAGGAAAATATTGGGCCTCATGCTTTAAAGAGATGGGAAGAGCATATGAGAAAGTCCAAATAAGTCTTTCATCATTTTAATCTACATTGTACTATTCTGAACAGGAGTCCTGCTTTGCAAAGACACAACAAGTAAAATGTGTGTTTCCTTAAGTAAAATAAATTATTGAAACGATCACCGAGGCAGGATGCATGACAGCCAGCCTTACAGGCAACGTTCAGGGAGTGGTGTCTGCTTTCTGGATTACTTGGCGACGTCACTCAAGGATCTGATACTATTTTTTCTTAATTGCACTTCAGCTTCTTTTAAACATTAATCATGTTTAAGGTGAGGCACTCAGGATGGCAGGGCAGACCCTGAGAATCAATGCAGTTATTGCCAATCAAGGACACAGAGGCACCTTCTAAGCTAAACTCTGTGTCCCACAGGGTATAAGGCTGAAGAAAGCCATATTCTCAGTGACAAAACCAAGGTGATCAGTCACCTTTGTTGTTCTCTATGACTCGCTGTGAAAAGAAGGATTTCTAGCTAGTTATATTTAATTGCATTTTATGAAGGGACTTTGAGTTAGTATCAGGGATGCGTGAAGGTCTCAGGAAATAAAGCTCATGAAGAACAGGTCTATTATACAAAGAACCACAAAGGAAGTCAAATCAATCCTGCTTAAAAAACACCTCATAAAAATACACACCAAACCGTACATTTTTGTTTGAAACAGAGTGAAGTAGGAAGTATTTCCTGAACAGCTGCCAAATACAGTGTATCAAAGTTATCACTATCACACACAACATTTTCTTAATCATAAGCTGCATTCTATGCTGATGATGATCTTGTTCCCAGAAGACACTGTGACATGATGGTGAAGAGCTCCGTCTTCGGAGTTAGACATGAGCTCTGTTTCCAGTTCCAACACCGTAATCTGTGAAGTATGGCTCCCAGTAACAGTCTGTGCAGACACAGTGTAGAATCCTTGTCAAGCCCTGAGCACTGTGGCTGGCACGTGTACTCAATGAATGTCTGACACCTTGGAAGGCAGACCTACCTGAAAATACAGTTTCATTGCTTACTTGTGGAATTTATTATATTGTGGATATTTGAATTCAAGACCTTTATTATACGTACCAGGCACTTCATCACTGGCACTGAAGGATACTGTGTGTTCAGTTACATCCTAAGCAGGTGTAAAACGTAAGTCTACACAAGTGTACCCCTGTACGACGGTCAATCTGCTCCTGAAGACGACAGTGGTAACTCAGCTAAACACGAATGTGAAGGAGAGCTCTTAGACATTTTTTGGTAATACATGTGCATTTCGCTTTGTTCATCTATTTGGTAGAAAAATTCTTATACCATTCACTGGGGAAATACGTAAAAGACGCTAATAAAACAAAATAGACCGTAAGAAGTTTCTGCTACAAAGCTGGAACATGCATTGTTTGTTATGCTACCAATTTGGTAATGTTGTCTATCTGAACCGACCTGCTGACATGGTTCACGAGGCGGGTCTGCAACAGCAGGTCTCTTCCTGGCAGGAGATTGTCACAGATGAGATGCTGGTTAGAACGGACTGCTACCCCATGGCAAACACAGAGAGAGCATAAGACATCAAGGACCTGAAAAGAGAAACTGCTTTCAGGTAAAACTCCCACAGACACAAACAATCCCCTCCAGGTACCGCTGACCCAGTCATTTCACACACGGCAACAGCGCCCACTGCATTCACGCCTCTCCTTCACACACAGATCGGGGACCACTCGTCCTCCCGTTGATGACATGAACAGACACGAAGCAGTGTGACCTGACTGAAGTTAAAAGGTAGAAAACACTCCCCCAAAATTTGACACCCCTTTAAAAATGATTTTTTTTCAAAAGTAATTTTTAAGTTATTCCAGAATTCATTTCTGGCCATAAAATAGTTCTCTTACCTTGTGATTTCTTCCATGCTTGTCTAGAAGTGAGATAATGGATTTAATATGCCCTTCTTTAATAATATTTAGAGCTTCTGGACTTTCTACTAACACACAGTGTAAAACTTCAAGAATACCTAAAGAAAAGAAAAAGAGGGGAAGAATATAATTAAGCACCTACAACAATCAGTGTCTTTCCTCTTCTTTATGCATTTGTTCAGGTGTTGAATGAACATAGTACAATTCTCACACGCTCGATGCATTTGTCGTAGGACACTGTGATAGGGGCAGGTGGTGTTTGGGAGGCAGGGCTGATGATCAGAGATGTTGGTATGAATGAGGATGAGGCAAAGACACAGTGTTCAGCTGAGTGAGCAGGTAATTCTGCAGGTAGACATATGAAAGAAAGCAGCAATTAAGTGGGGCCTTAGAGAACTCATTCATGATTGTTCTCCAGACAGCAAAGTAGGGTGCTAAAGTGATGAGTGAAGTCTTGAATGGCAGGCACACCTGCTGTGCCTGGGGTCCAGACCAAATAGGGGCTGGGAAAGGTGGCATAGGGCCACTTATGAAGCTTCTGGACACCGAACATCTAACCCTGCAACAATGCATCCCAACCCATGGAGATCATAACATTCTCCTCGAGGGTTATAGTAGGAAATGTTTCTTGGTTTGCAGAACAAGAGAAATACACAATGCAACACAAAAATAAGTAGAAATATACAGTATATGAAACTGAATAAGAATGGTGATATTCCTAGGTATCAGCTATCAGAGAAGATAAAATGGAACAGATCCTTTTTTAAAGTTTAATAAAGAGATTAGAAAATAAACCTCATTACCTGAATTTTTAGTGTGAACTTGGAAAGCTAAATGGGTACGTGTGTATTTTTTCAGAGCAAGCCTGCCTTGTCAGCAATGAGAATGGAGTTCATTTGTATCAATTAAACATAACATTCATAAAATACAATGTCTGTCGGTGAGTGCAATATTGAGAAGGGGCCCAGAGGAACCTTGCAGAAAGGTTTATACATTTCAAATGGAGTTCACTTTCTTAGAAGATAAGTGTAAAGTGCTCAGGTTTACAAATGGTAGAGTATAGAGGTAATTCACTTTAACGGTCACAATCCACACTTCATCCAAACTCCAACCCATTACAAGACAAGAGCTGTTAATGTTACTTTCTTAACCAATGACTTAATTCTTTGAAATACAAATGTATAAAGGTAAGTTTCTGGTGTGGTTCAAAATATGTTGCTGTGTTTCAACAATCTGTGCCTGTTAAAAATTAAAGATAGCAGATAATAATAATACTAGAGGCTGATGGGTAAATTAAAGATGACTTTTATATAAAGATAAGGAAACTATTTCTGCTATGATTAAGAAGGTAAGCAATAAAATAGACTCTTTCATTCCAAGCTAATAAACTAAAATAACAGAATGGGAAAGCATTTTCACAGACAACATCCTATGTTATCCTGATGTGGGATTAATGTTTGTTTTCTCCCTGAACTTATCACTACAGAACACACGGACGCCTGTATTCATAAATAAAGCTGTACTGTGCGTACATGCCCGTTGGCTCACGTATCTTCTTGGCACTAAAAGTATGACCCTGCAACACTGCATCCTAACCAGTAGAGATCATTACACACTCTCCTGGAGTTCACAGTAGAAAATGTTTCTTAGTCAGCAAAACAAGAGGAATCTAGGAATGGTGCTTTTGCATTAAAAAGGCAGAGCTGAGTGGTTGCAGCAACAAAGCCCTCTGGTCCACAGGGCCTAAGATTTATTATCTGGCCTTTTACAGGAAACGTTTGCCAATCTCTGCTATAAAATATAATCATTACCAAGAAAACTGGTAGAAGATCAAGAAAAATACATTCTTTTTGTAAATAAACATTCATGAATAAATATTCATTAACCTTAATGAATCAGGAAAGATTAAAAATTAGACTTTTGGAAAGAACAATGCAGACTGTAAATTGTAAGAATGACAATACAAAAATATATCTCTGATTTTTCTCATAGTCAGCCTATTGCAATAGAAGGCTTTCAGAGTTTGGGGTTTAACATTAAAACTTTTTTTCAATGGGGCCAGGTCAGATCCAACAAATAAACACTTAGTTGAAAAGAACTCTAATTCTGACAATAAAAAGTCAGAGAAAACTATTTTTAATTTTAGCTGTTGGAATAAACTGCTTTTATTTTTTATAGTAAGAAATTCCTAAAGGAAAACAAATTGGAAATGCTGAAAGAGTCATTTTCAAACAATAAAGACTTGCTAGATCTACCACATTGTGTGTATATTTAAATTATCCTGACGTATGCTCGAAACCTTAGGTGAAAAGTGAGACAGAGAAACAGTGTTTAACATTATAAGAGCAACAGCTGATTAGAGATGATTTGAAAATTAAATTATAAATTCACTGAGTAAGACCTTGAAATTGCAATAGTACATAACACTTATGGTCAGATTTTCGAAGAAAAAAGTTTAAGCTTGTATTTTTAAAGCTTGGCTAAAACCATCCTAAGGAAACACCCAGTCTTCAGAAATACATCAACTTAATCAACGGTACTTGCTCATACAACTCTTTTGTCTTTTCAGTTAAATTTGGCCCAGACATGGTCCACATGAAGTCTGGGGCAATGTCTAACTTCCCCTTTTTCCTCCCAAGAAATCCACAGTGGCTGCTCTTCTAAACTGGTCAGAGAGTCTAAAAAGGGCCTCATGCAGTGGTGATATATACGGTCGACTTCAGATGCAGAATGTGGAAAGGAAACCCAGCTGCCATTCTGAAGCTCTCTGTCATGTAGTGAACCAGCAGCTGGCAGGGTGCGGACACTGCCGGGCCCTGCTCTAACTCCCATCCCCGCCCCCGGCAAGGGTCACTGCAGACTCCTGATCGCCAGCTCCTGCATCCCTTTGCTTCAGGATTTGCTCTGCCCACAGTGGCAGCTGGAGGAGTCCCAGAATGAAAGCCCCTGGGAGCAGCACCACCCCAACGACAGAAGGGAAGTTGGTTACAAACACTCCCGACTCCCTCACCCTGCAGGTGGGATGTCGCTAAGGCACGTGTTCTCTGCAGAATTTCCCCCAATAAATAGCCCCAGACACTGTGGGGTAACTTCTATTAACATGCCCTCTCTGGACCCTTCCTCCTCCACCTTGTCTCATGCCCACTCAGGTCCTGAATCAGCCCGCTCTCCTACTGCTGGTGGACCCCAGGGTGAGGTGAGCTGCTTCGTCAGCACGCCCCTCTGCTGACTGTCTTCATGCCCTCGTCGATCTCTCCCTAGGTCTGCAGGGCTTTATTCTGAGCTGTTCCCGCTGCCCTTTTCCGAGGGCACTGAGAGCCTGTAGAGCCCCTCTCTGCTCTGCTGCTCAGACGGACACAGCCAAGCTACTCACGCAGCTGGGGGACTGAGCAGAGGAGGGTGTGGTCCACAGCCTCAGATCAGACAGAAGATCAGATGATGCCTATGGAAGCGCTAAGTAAACAGTGAAGCACAACTGCAATACATTTTCACTGTTACTGTGTGTGTGCATTATAGATGCCTATCATTACTGATACTGTCTCTTTTAAGAACTAAGCAACATTCTACTTCCTCTAGGATAAAAAGCCGTTCACAAAAAACATAAATGTAACTACAGTAGAGAAAACTGTTCGGTGAAAAATATTTTAGATACTTAAAAACTAGGAGGCTACAAGGTACAGTGGACATATTTCAAGTCTGACACGAGGGAGCTGGTTTTCGTCTTGGCTACAGAAGTTAATTCTAGCACCTCAAAGCGGTGATTTCAATGTTCTATGCTTCAATTTATTCCTCTGTCAGTGAGAACGTTACCTTAAGCATCCTCTAAGGGTCCTTCCTACTCAGAATTTCACTCTGCTTCCTCCAAGCACAGGGCTGCTACTTGAGGTAGAACTGCCTGGGCGACAGCTGGATGACAGCAGGTAGCGATTTGCAGCCAGTGGAATTATGCTTCAGACTAAACTCTGGACTCTGAGTGGCTGAGCCTGAAAAACGCTCAGCTCTGCTCTTTCCTTCTCTCTCTCCTCTTCTCCTTTAGGCATTTTTGCTGTGCTTTTTTTTTTTTATGTGAAGCAGCTGATTTGTCCAGCGTTTGTCCATTCTGAAGGCTGCTCTGCTCCTCTCTCTTTCTAGATACTTTCTGGGCCAGGGAAAGGGACTAGCATACTTTTTTTTATATCTACTGGAGCTTGCCAACAATTCTAGATGCTTTGACCCAAGAACTGATCCATTTTTGCATCTCTACCATCATTCTGTTAGCACTAATCTGATCACTTCCTCCCAGTAGCTACTCAGTTTCTCCTTATTCAGTGCATTCTATACTGATTCACAGTTGTCTCATTCATGCTGTGGTGCCCTGAGAATCCTCATCTCATAATTCCTGTGCTTTTTTATCTCAACAATCTCCTTTTCTCCTCTTGCCGCCCAACAACCCAGCAATGCCTTAGAACTCATTGTTACTCAAATTTCTCTTAACTTTAGGTTCCTAACATCTTAAACTCTGAAATTTCGCTGTGACTTAAAAGTAACCTCCTTTGACCACAACCATCTGTTCTTCTTTCCATCTTCATTTGATTCCAACAAATCTGTCCCTAACTGGGTCTTTATGCGAAAATCATGGAGTTGTATCTGTACTGACAGGTATTTTCTGAAGTGAATTCAAACACTCATTACTGCACTCATTCAGCAAATACCATGAAGCACCTACTAGATGCCAGATGGTATGGCAGGTCCAGAGACTACGAAGATGAATAAAACCAGACCCCTACCTTCAAGAAATTCATTACCAGTGCAGGAGACGGAAAGGAAAAGTAAGCAACTGAAAGGGACATCAGTGCTGTGGAAGTGCGCTGTGGAATGCTATGCAGACAGATGGGGGAGCAACTGACTCAGCCTGGGGTGCCCCCGAGGCACCTGCAGAGCCCCAGAGCTCAGGCAGGCTTGGTAGTCACGTGCACGTCCCCACAACGCCGGCATAAAGTAACACTGCTTGTTAGACACAGACGCATCAGACTTGTTGCCTTTAGATATTTCATAACGATGTTTATTAGTATTTACTAAACCCCTTTAAAATAAAAATACTGTGCTATATGATTTGGAAAGCTAAATTTTTTTCCGAAATCAGGCCAAGTAATCATTTGAACACAAGTTAAAAATGGGAATTCCCAATCAATCCTTTTTAAAAAATTTCCATTTACTTAAACTAAAACTAAAACAAAAACAAAAACAAAAGCAAAAACAGTTCACCCAGACCAATCCTTTTATTTGTATACTGCATTCATACTGCATTGGAGTAACTGATTTGAAGAAGAATGGGAATTCTGACCTGGTAGTGGAGTTCAGGACTTCATTCTTTTTTAAATGCAAATAAGAGGATTATGGTTAGATTGCTAGAAACAACTCAGGAAAATGCCAATGATTTCATCAGTCAGTAAACTTTCTAACCTATTAAAGGGAAAACATTCATACTGCACTGAATCTCAGTTTGTTTTTATGTCTGAAAGGACGCAAAACAGAAGAAAACGGGAATAATATAACATAATAAGGCGGTAACTGGAAAACGTACCGGAAGAAGCTTCCAGTCTTTCCAATCGGCTGATCAACCAGTCGAGGGAGCCAGAAAACTGAGCACAGTTTTTACGATTTCCTCTAATTAGAGCCGCTGCAAAACGAAAAAAGCAGATTTCAGTTACATAACATTCTAGTTCAAACTGCAAGGTAAGCTAATAGTAGCTGGAAAGTGTTGGTTCAAAAACAAAATACCTTTACTTTATACCTAAAACATTTATACAAATACACACATACATACATACACACAATTGAGACATTTAAAAAAAAGAACTGATATTCATTAATGAGAACTGAAGGAACATTGCTTACTAGAAGGAACGTGCTTTGAGAACGCTACACTCCATACTGGGAAGAAATACTGACGGGCAGTGGGAGCCAGTGCGCTGGGGATTTCCTCACTTGGGTCCTCACACTGCTTTTAGTCAGCTGGGAGACTAAATTATTTTAATTTCCCTAGAGCTCAATTTTCTCACCTGTGTAATGAAGAAGTTAAGGAAACACCAGTTCTCCTGAACATGCAGCACAAAATACTACTAGGTATGACTAGTAACTGTAACAGACATATAAAGAGATGTAATTAAATGTTACAGGAGAAAGAGGCTGGGAGGGCCAGTGGCTAACAAATGTGAAAACCTTTTCCCCCCGTATCTCTTTTTTCCAGGTAGAAATTCACAATGCACACTAAAGACTCTAAGAAGTAACTCCTGCAGTCAAGCCACCTCCTCTAACCTTTGCTTAACCTAGTGTTTCCTGCACTTCTTTGACAGAAGAACCCATCTTACGTGAAATTCCTGTGACCCTTCTGATCTCTTTCAATCCAACTAATACACTCCAGTTAAAACTTGTTTCTAAATCATTCCATCTTTCAAAGCAAATGTGATGTCTTACATAAATTCTACTTGTACATCCATAAGATTGTCCAGAAACAATATAATTGTTTATAAAAGGCTGGTGAGATTTTTATAAAATATGATGCTTAATGTGAAAAAGCTGTTGCTGTAAGAAAAATCACCATTTAAAATCTGCTGGTGCTAGGGAGCAGTTTGAAAACCTGAGATTTGAGAATACCCCGTTTATCTCCTCGTTAACAGCAAAACAGAACAGACCCAATAGCTAGGGAGTTCAATCAGGCTTAAAGACTCCCTTCACATTTTCTCCTTCCTCCCCAAAAAGTTGTTATCTGACCTGAGAGGAAGAAAAGAAATAATGACAGAAAGGACAGGAAGGTTTCGGTTCTTAGAACAGCATAAGAAAAGCTCTTTTGTAAACAGAGTCCCTGCAACATCTGTACAAATATTAAAAGATGATGCACTGAATTACTTTGGCTCTCCAGCTCTGGGACCAGCAGCCCCCAACAAAGCCAGCTACACACACACACACACACACACACACACACACACAGACACACACACACACAGACAAGGGAGTCAAGGATGAGGCGTAGTGGAGGAATGAGGAGTCCTATATGCTCAGTGGGGTTTCTAATTTTAACATGTAAGAATATCTGTTCCTTACTTAGAACAACAGCAACTGGGGGAAAGTACATGATGAAGTTTTGGAATCTTCACTGAATTTCATTTGTTTAAAATTTAACCCATTCATTTAACTTTACCTTTTTATTTTAAAATGCAAGATATTAAATATTTTCTAGAGGTCAAATGTTAGAGAAAAGATAATTCTTGAAGGAAACTAATAATGCACAAATAAGCCGTTTTACTAAACCATGGAATATTTAAGAAAACCACACAGTAGGTCACAAAGAAAACACTAAATTTACCGCAAACAGAAATGGTACCTAGGCTATGCTTTCTGACAACAATGTAATGAAACTTCAGATTAGTAAGAAAAGCAGAAACAAAAATAAAACTTGAGCACATAAACATTTAAAATCTCTCCTAATTAATTTTTTAGTCAACGAGGGAATCAACATCACATTTACAGAATACCTAGAAAATATAAAAAAATAGAAATGCTGACTTACACAAACAATGGTAGATGGTCAAAACTGTAGTCAGAGAAAAATTAACACTTTAAGTGCTAAGTAAGAGGGTGAGAAATGTTAACTAAACATTCCTTTCAAAATACAGGGGAAAATATAAAAATAAGTAGAATTGGAAAAAATAAATAGCAATAAAAGTAGAAATTAATACACTGGAAATGGTAGAAGTGATCTATGTAATAAGTTGAAATAGTAGGACCGATCAACATAGTTAAGGACTCTGTTTAAATATGAGCTAAACACCAACGATTTTAATCAAGGAGAAAAGAGAAAAAGAACAAAATTATAGAGAGAAAGGAATTACAAACAGTGCCACTGTATATATCTCTATAGTGGATTTTTGAACATTTAGGAAAAAGGATGGTATACAAATATGTATTTTTTCACCCAGAATTAACCCAAAGGAGAGAATCTGAACAGAATAATAAACCATGGGTAGTACTGAGAAGTGTCTCAAAGACCAAACATTTTTTTCTATGTTTAAGAAAGAAGTCATTTCTATACTAAAGTGTTCCAAAGTAAAGAAACTAAGAAAACCTCCCCACTTATTTTACAGACTGTATACCTTTGATGCCAATGCCTAACAGAGAGAGTGTGCATGTAAGAAAACCAGAGGGAACTCTCACCTACGAATACAGATCCAGAAATCTTATACAAGGATGGTATTGGCAAATCATTCAGCAGTGAGCTGGCAGCATTAACTCAAGTGAGGGTTCATTATTCCAGTAAGACAGAAATGCATTAGGAAATCTGTTAATAAGTCAAAGATGAAACATGATGATCTCGACAAATTTTAAAAATGTATATATTCTTTACCAAAAAATTTTAACTCAGTAAAACAGAATGCCTCGTGAACATTATGAATGTATGTGTGCACGTGCAGAGGATCTCTTACAGATAAACGGGGTATGTGACTTATAATCAGCAAATTAGTCATGAAGAAATCAGTTAAGCAAGTTTCTCAAGTATTAGAAGAGCATACAGAGAAATACAAGGCAGCACATAACGACGCCATTTACAAAGCAAAGCACCGGGAACGCGTGTGTGTGGGCTGAGTAACTGATGGCGTGTCCCGCAGCAGGTGGTGCACATCCACTGAAACCCGGGGAGGGTCTGCAGTTATGGCCAAGGAACGATGCCCAATACAGAAGTCAGTGGAAACAAACACTACAAAGGAATACTGAGAAAATGGCCCCATTTTTGTGAAGTAAATGTATATATTCCACATAAGTATATGCACAGAATGAAGAAACTGTGTTTTTGGAGTATTTCTTAAAGAACGAGAGCTGACTTTTTGAGAAATGTATCCTGAGAAAAACCTGGGATAGAAACAGACCCTGAGGAACTTTGATAAGGACGAGACGGCTCTCCCCGAGTCATAAGGGGAAACTGTCTTCTTCAGAAATGGGGAGCTGAGTGGAGCAAGGAGGAAAGAGGGGCATGATTGGTGATACGACTGTGCACACAGACCCCCCTGAAGCCACAATAAATTCTGTAAAATAAGTAAATCAATCACAAATGCTCAGTAAGAACCTGTGAAGAGGTGACGGTTTGTGGCCAAGATATTATGTAACCTCAGAGGAACAACAGACCATCATGAAGAAGCATTAAAGCAGGAAACAGTGTAACCGAACAACTCCCCAAAATGTACAGACATCAAGGGAAAGCCTGAAGCCTGTCTCCGTCCATGAAATTGGAACTTGGACAGAGCTAACTAAAGCCTCAGGGGATCGGGCCACGGCTGATGTCTTAGCAGGACAGGGATCTGCACAGGCACGCACGATGCTAGTGTATGTGTGTGCATGTGGGTGTGTGAAATGGTTTGCATGTATTTAATGTTACATTTAAATTCAAAGAAACATTTTTCAAGGTTATACACTAAAAAGAGTGGTTACGTTTAAAAGTTGTTTCTACCTTCTTTTTTATCAATTATCTAAATTTTTATAATGAAGATGTATTAATTTTAAAGTTAAATAATAAGGGGGGATGGGTACAGCTCAGTGGTAGAGCGCGTGCTCCTTAGTAGCATGCGTGAGATCCTGAGTTCAATCCCCAGTACCACAACTAAAATAAATACATAAATAAACCTAATTACCCCGCCCCCTCAAAATTAAATACTACAGCTACTTTCTTTTTAAAAAAAGGAAAAGCAACTACAGCGGCAGTTGCTCTCAGACATCTCAACATGACAGTGGCAACTTCAGGTGGTGCTTCAAGGTTCATAAACAAACTCAAGACAAATGTTGTTTCCTCAATGCCCGACAAGAATGCCATACCCTAAAATACTCCGTAATTGCTGGCTAATTGGCCTTGAAGAGAGTCAGCAAGACCTTACACTCGCCATCCTATTTTTCTTCACTTTAAGAAATATTAATGTAAATGCATTAGGCACTAGGGTTGGCACTGCAAACATGAGCTTGAATAAAATGTGAATATAATACAATGGTTTGCAAGTCTTCTTCTAGCCTATTTTAAGCTCATTTAGATCTGACACTGTCTTTATTACACCTTTGCACGCTGTCTGAAACTCGAAGGCATGTTATTTCTTAATGAATAAATAGTATCTAGTCTCTTACGGAACAAGAAGATCAGTGGTTAGGTGCAGTCCAACTTCAAGATGTCAAAAACATTTTGAATTAAGCTCTTACCAAGGAAGTGCTAGTTCACTGAACCAATTTTCTATAATGTTAAATAACTCATTAAATCTTTAAACTTTTATCCAGTCAGAATACAAAATGCAAGTCATGTGGCAGTTAACCGAAAAATTATTATTGTTTAAAAAATATTCTGCATTTCTTATCAGCATCATAACATCCCTGTGTCCTCATGCTCTTGTGGTTTCAACTCTGACTCAATAAAGCCTCACTTAAATTCCTTGTCTGGCCTCTTAAGTTTCTAGAGTCCAGGGACTCAGGTCAGTAACACTTTGGGTGGATTGGCCGGCATGATTACATTGGCCAAAAATGGCATGAGTGCTTCCCATGGGTCCTGGGGAGAGAGCATCTCTGTAGGGTCAGCCTGAGTCCATGCCGGAGGGCCACCGGGAGCAGTAGAAAGACTGCAGGGAAAAGAGGCGGCAGGTAGACTACAGGCTGCTTGTAAGCCAGGGAAGGCGCTGCAAACAGCCACCCAGAACAGAGCTGCAGCTGCCGGGTCACAGGCACAGGGGCGTGGCTAGAAACATCCAGCATGCCCTGCAGAGAGTCCGCTCTCAGCCACTGACAGCCCCCAGCGACATCAGCTTTCACCTTCCTACCGAGGAAGAGCTGCTGTCTCCTCCCCTCCCTCTGTCCTCACATGGCAAAAAGCACCTTCCTTGGAAAGTAAAGAGCAGCGTGTGTGCACTCAGCACACAGCGGGGCTGTGACTTACTGGCAGGCAGTTCTGATTCCAGAGTCTGTGCTCAGGTCCTAGACTATGCTGCACCCCCTCCCATCTCTTTCTGTTGGAACCCTCTGTCTAAAGAGAGTAGGAGGGTGAGGTTCTGGTAGTATATAAGCAGATAAGAAAGTACCTCACAAAACTGGTTATGAAATGAGTTTTCATTAAAACTTATGACTCTCATTTCATAGCCATGAGATTATTACCAAGTTGGAAAAAACTCGTGTCTTATTTATAGAATGCCTTTTCAGGATTTCCTGAAGAACAAGATAGGAAATACCTGTATGTACAATCACAAGAAGAACACCTGCTATGTGCATGTTTGAAGCCAAGGCCTTTCTTTCTCACGTCTTGACTGCCTTCCCCCAGTATTTTAGGGCATTCAGGAAGATCTACCTCCCTAAGACCCCAGAGAAATGACCTGGGAATGCAAAAATCTTAAGGATTCAGAAACTGGTAACTTCTGCCATCCTAAAAGAGTAGCGTTCTATTCTGTCTGTTTTGTACTCTTGAAATTTCCTAAAATGAGTATTCATAGAGAGTCTGCCAAAGATTATTTCTCAGACATCTTTAGAAAATCATCCTGGCTTGCAAGCCTCCTGCAGATTAATTGTGTGGATGTCAGAAAAGATGTATGAAAGCATGCCACCGTAATGCTTCTCAAACTATGAATACTGGTGCCCATGAGACCCTTAGGTCCTCCTGATGGCAGGCTCACACATCTACTGTTGTCGTTCTCCACCTAAAACACATATTAACTATATCCATGTCAAATTTTAAAATTGTTACAGATGATCATTCCCACCTCCTCCTTTTCTCTCCAGGCTAAATAAGCCTGCTGAAGTAAAAGAGGAAGAAGGCTGATTTTACACCAGAACCTCCTGAGAGAATCTACTGTCCACCTTTTTGCAAGAATGGAGAGGAGGCTTAATAAATCTGGAGTGGGTACTTGACCCAAACTTTCTGACAGCTATGTAAAGAGGGACAGTGAGACACCAGGATCTTACTGAACTCCAAGCACTGCTGCCGACCGGAGACGACCCCACCACGGTGAACACCCGCGTACGCACACAGGCCTGCCCCTCTTGTGAGCACCCTGGCTGCAGCAGAAACTACTGGCAGCAGAGGGTTCTTAAGTCAAGCAGATTTTATTCTATTTTTTATGATCGTGAAATCAGTGTTCACTACAATAAAAACAGAAAATCAAGAGTTGTCAAAGGAACATTTACACCACAAAATCTCTCATAATTCTACCTCCTGAAACAACCGTCAGTAAAACCACCATGTATACTGAAAGGGAGTCTCTTTATATGCACTTTACATGCACTGACATAAATACTCTATGTGTCACCTCAACTGGAATTAATACATTGGCTTTTCATCATCAATTTTCTAGCATTATACATTTCTATTGCCTGTTTTTTCAATTATAAAAATAATACATGTAAATAGATTAAGAATAAATATGTAATAGAACACACAGAAAAATAAAAGAGCTCCCAAGAAGCAGCCACCTACATTTTTCTGTGCATCCGTTAGAATGTCGAATGTTTATACAAGAATGTATCTTTCTCTACATATTTTTAATTTTATGGAATTGGAATCTAAGTTTACATCCTTGCTTTTTTTTTTTTTACTTAATACCATGTCCTAGATTGCCATACTAAAAAGACCAGCACTCTAGCCTGTTTCATACAATTTTCCAAATGGTGTATTTAATCTCAATTTTCAGTGATAACTCAGCACTACACTTTAGAGGTGTGCCATTACTTATGTAACCAACCCCTGTTGACAGAAAAATTGTTTTCAATTTTTATGCCACTTATAAACAATCTTGCAGTGGATATCCTTTGTACTCTGGTACAAATGTATCTCTAAAATACATTTCTTAAAGTAGAAATTCTGAGAGTAAAAGGATATATATATATATAAATTTTCATGTATACTATCATTAATTTACACTTCCACCAGGAAGATATTACCCAACATTTTCCCCAGTGACAGGTGCTACGAAGGTTTTTGTCTGTGCCAATCTAACAAGTGAAATCTGCTCTTTACTTCTTATTTTAATTTCCATCTCTTTATTGTCATGTTGAGACTCTTGTTTATCTATTGCTCTGGGAACTACCTGTGGCCACCTGTCATCTGTTTTTCTACTAGATGACATTAATTTTTCTTACAGATTTATGAAAACTACATATTACAGAAACTGGGCCTTTGTCTTTCATACAGATTGCATATTTTACAAAATTCTCATTTGTTTTTTATTTTGTAATATTATTTATCCTCAAAGTTTTAATTTTTATGTAGTCAAACTTATCAGTCTTTTACTAACTATAAGTTAGTCCCTTACTAACATGATTTAATAGTAACTTGTATCGAGATGGCAGAGGCAGTAAAGCCAGGAACGGCATTCACTGTGGCTAGCTTTGTGATTCACAGTGTCCGTCTTACTTCACCATAAGCTTCATGAGAGCAGGCACTAGATCCTGTTCACAACTGTGCCTCGTTGCCCAGAGCAGGGCACCTCCCTTAGCAGGCATCAATTAATCTTTGATGAACAGATGAAGCTTCTATGAAACCTAGACCCACTAGACTCCAAGTCCATGTTCCCCCAATGTGACACAGACTCT